CTATTATGTTGCGGTATAAAAACCCGGATTTGGTTCTTGGAAAGACTATTAATATATACTATTATGTTGCGGTATAAAAACCCGGATTTGGTTATTGGAAAGACTATTAATACATTTAATTACTGCGTGCTTCTGCCATTGCCTCGATGATAGCGTAGAGTCCGGCCACCAGCAGGTGTCTATAGAATACGCCAACGATGACAAAATAAATAGACGAGGCTGCTTTCCTGATCCAGCCGCATGGAGAGAGGAAAGACAGTTTCAGGCCAGTTTTGCTAGAGAAAAGAAGAAGGTGAAAAGATCGCGCGCAATGCAACCATTACGCGTATAGAGCTTAGAATGCTGCTATAGGCCCCCTATTACGAAGTCGCGCTAACGATACATCGATACATCTATCCACGACTACTGGGCATTTATTAAAGATCACTGTGGGGTGGTGTGCCATTTTTTAGCGATATGCCCTTTAAATCTGGAAAAATACTGTCTAGCCTCAGCCCTGCATGGAACCGGCCCTGATGTACGTCTCAAATGCTTGATTATTAAAACTTCAACACCCTTTACCTATTATCTGAATATTATATATGTATATATATATATATAGCTCTAAGGTTTTTTATCAACTACTAATTAATCATGTTTGTTTTATTACCGTAATAGAACCCATGAACAATCTTAGCGTTAGATAGTTAGATCAATGACCCAGTGTCTGTCGCCACAGGTTCAAGAAGATGTAAGAAGTGTTTATCACCAACGCAACAGCCTCGAGAACACTGCGCCCAGGATGTCAACACGTGTAGCTGAAGACGCGTGTGCGTCCCCATCTGGTGTCGGCTGGAGAAAGTTCACAGTAGGGAAATAAATGCTGACTAATGAACTCGCAATGGCGAAATCGGAATAACGAAGGTTCATCCGTTCATCTCGGTGTTCTCAAAACCCGGAAAAACGAATCCGGGTTTCAATTGATACGGATATATTATAATTGTAAACCTGCGTTTGCTAAGTACGATCACATGTAACGTAAATAGGGTACGATTCGAACAACCAAAATGGGTCAGGATGGTCCGACAAGCGAAGTCTAAGCGTGCGCCTTTCCATTTCTCTGTAGTGTTCAAGACATATTAAACACGTTATTTGTGCACCAACGGCTTCTCTAAATTGCATTATTCAGAACATAATAAGTAGGATTGCTGTTTGTACACACTGTTTGTGCACCAACGGTTAATTTCTCTTAATTACATTATTCAGAAGATAAAAAGTAGGACTTCTGTTTGTACACACTGTTTGTGCACCAACGGTTTCTATTAATTACATTATTGAGAAGATAACAAGTAGGACTGCTGTTTGTACACACTGTTTGTGCACTAACGGTTTCTATTAATTACATTATTATTCAGAAGATAACAAGTAGGACTGCTGTTTGTGCACACTGTTTGTGCACTAACGGTTTCTATTAATTACATTATTCAGAAGATAACAAGTAGGACTGCTGTTTGTGCACATTGTTTGTGCACCGGCGGTTTCTCTAAATAACATCACTAAGAAGATAACAAGTAGGACTGCTGTTTGTGCACATTGTTTGTGCACCGGCGGTTTCTCTAAATAACATCACTAAGAAGATAACAAGTAGGTATGTACGCGTAATTTCCGGATAGCGGTCATCTTGCTAAGAAAGGCGAAAAGAAGGCGCATGAGTATTGTGCAGCCATAATTTCACTTGCGGTGCAGCTGCGTATCGTCGGCGTGCGTGAGTTCCTCCCTGTGTGCGCTTGCATGGCGTCGACGCTTCCTAGACACAAAACAACATTGCCTCTAAGTGGCGTAATCATTAAGCGCAGGGAAAGGTCGACCTCCCTGCCTATGATCGCCACTGCACCTACATGGCATGCTTCGTTCTTGTGTTATAATTCGATTTTTGTTTTTATGGCTTGATTTATACACATAATAACATCTCGATTGATACTCACATATAACTCATCGATTTATCAGCATATTAACATTAAGAGTTATCAATGCGAATGATTCGATGCGTGAAATCGAATGATTCGATGCGTGAATCGAAATGATTCGATGCGTAGAATGCGAATGATTCGACTGGCGTGAATCGAATGATTCGATCGGTCGAATCGAGATGATTTGCAATGCGTGAATCGAAGTTGCTATTGAAGCATCGAATCATTCGATGCTGAATCGATGATTCGATTGCGTGAATCGATATTAATTCGATTGCGTGAATGCTGAATGATTCGAAATCTAGTAACCTTGGCCACGTTTTCGAATCTCAGAGCGCCAATCCGTATCAACAACTTGCAGCAAAAACGGCAAACGCTAGTTCAACTTATTATATATACAATACAAAAACTATAATCAGAATAATAATGTTACAATCTATTGCATTCACCATTTTGAGAGCGAGAAGACGGAGGAGGTAGAGCGAGCAGTGGGAGAAATAGTGAGGAAGTAGAGGAAGGGGGACTGAGCTGGTGGAGAAAGAAGAGGGAGGACTGCTTTGTTGGGAGAAGGAGAAGGGAAGAGTAGAAAGGAGGGGAGAAGGTGGTGGAGGAGGAGAAAAGGGAAGAGTGGCGGGAAGAGGTAGGGAAGAATGTGTGAGGCAGGAGGATGGGGTCGAGGTGGTAAGGTGAGTGAGTGAGAAGAAAAGGGCGAGGGCAGAGGGCAGGGAGAAAGAGGGAGGGATGCGAGGGGGTAAGTGAGAGAATAGCGAGAGGCGAGGGAGGGAGGGGTCCGGGGTCGAGGTGGATGAGTGAGGTAGGGAGAGGGGAGGCGAGGGGAGAGGGAGCGGGAGGAGAGGCGATCGAGACGCGTCTTGTGCTCACCGGCCGCCCGCAGAATGCACAATATACTTGTAAGCGGGCCACATCACACCGCAGGCGAAGTGATGGGCGATGGGACGACGCAACAACGAACGAAGCGAACGAACGAACGACCGACCGACCGAACGAAAAACGAAGGAACGAAACCACAGAACGACCACAACGAAAAACGAACGGAAGCGAACGCAACGAACGAAACGAAAACGAACGAACGAACGAAACGAACGAACGAAAAAACTTGTGAAATGTTATATATGGGTGATAAAATTCAAACCATGAAAATACAAAATCCGTATATTAATCGTCCAGATATATCTTGTCCAGCAGTATTAACGCTAGCTGGACCCGCCGCGCTGGTCGCATAGCGCAGATCGAAAGGGATGGCGGGTATCAGTAGGGACTGCGGGTAACCGTCAGAAGGCAGTGGCGGCGTGAACGTTCAGGACATGTGAAACGGGTATACGTAGGGGCAGTGGCGGCTACGTAAAGGCAACTGTCGGGTACCGTAGACAGGCGGGTAATCGTACGCGGCGCAGCGCGCGGTATCCAGTAGGACACTATCGGCACCGCGGTAACACGTCAGCGGCCATGCGGGTAAAGCGGCGTAGGGGCAGTTTGGCCGGTAGACGCGTAGGGCCAGTCCGCGAGTCAGACGCATAGGGGGATCAAGTGCGGAGGTAACGTATGCCGGACAGTGGCGGGTATGCGCTAGCGACCGCGGTAACGTAGGGCAGGCGGGTCAACGCCTAGGGGCAGTGCTGGGTAAATCGTAGGGACAGTGCGGGGTAACGCTAAGGCACAGTGCGGGTACCCGTAGGGGCAGTGAGCGCCGGTAACCGTGTAGGAGGCATGCGGCATACGTAGGCGACAGTCGGGTAAACCGCTAGGGACAGTCGCATGCTACAACGTGTAGGGACAGTGCCGGGTAACGTAAGGACAGTGCGCGTAAAGCGTAGGGACAAGTGCGGCGGTGAACGGGTAGAGAGGGCCAGTGCGGGTAACGTAGGGAACAAGTGGCGCGTGTACGCTAAGGGCGAGCAGTGCGGGTGACACGGTAGGGCCACGCGTGCGGGTAACGTAGGCTAACAGTGCGGCGTCAACCGTAAGGGGAGCAACGGTGCGGAGTTAAAGCCAGTAGGGTACAGTGCGGGTATACGTAGAGCGGCAGTGCGGGTAACGTGGGACAGAGCCGGGTAACGTAGGGGCAGTGCCGGTAACGTAGGGACAGTGCGGGTAACTGTAGGGCCAGTGGCAGGTAACGTAAGGGGCAGTGGCGGACTAATGTAGGGGGCAGTGCGGGTCAACGTAGGGACAGCTGCGGTAACGTAGGGCATGTGCGGGTAACGTAGAGACAGTGCAGGTAACGCTAGGACCAGAGCGGGGTACGTAGGGGCAGCGCTTGGCGCGAGTAAGTGTAGGGGCATGTGCGGAGACGTAGGGACATGTGCGGTAAGCCGTAGGAACAGTGCGGGGTACGTAGGGACAGTGCGGGTAATGCGTGGCGAGGCCCGGAGAGACAAGTGCAGTAACGTCAGGGGGCAGTCCGCGGGTAACGTAGGCGACAAGGGGTAGGAGCGCGCGGTCCAACGCGTGTATGGGCACACCACGGCGGGTACACGTAAAGGGGAGTCGAAGGGGTAATGATGTAGGGGAGGTCGGCCGGGTAACGTAGGCACAGTGCTGGGTAACGTAAGGGACAAGTGCGGGTAAGCGTAGGCGCCACGTGCGGTAACGTAGAGGGACAGAGCCAGGTAATGGTAGGAGCGGTGCGGGTAACGATAGGGCAGTGGCGGGTAAACGTAGTCAGGGGCAGTGCCGGTAGTAGGACAGTGAGGGTAATGCATGGGACACGTGCGGTAACCGCTCAGGCGACAGTCGCGGCTAAACGTGTAGGCGCCAGTGCGGGGTAACGTAGGACCGAGATGCACGGGTCAGGTAGGGGCACGTGCGGGTAAACCGCTAGGGACAGTGCCGGGTAACGCTAGGCGCCACCACCTCCGCGCCGGGTAAAACGTAGGACAGTGCGGTAACGTAGGACAGTGCGGGTAACGTAAGGGAACAGTGCGGGCTAAATACGTAAAGGGACATGTGCCGGGAATGTAGGGACATGTGCGGGTAACGTAGGGACACGTGCCGGGTAACGTATGGGACACGGTGCGCGGTAACGTAGGCAAGTCGCGGGTAAACGTGAGGGACATAGTGCGGGTAACGTAAGGGCCAGTGCGGGTAACGTAGGGACAGTTTTACACACACTAATATTCCACTATAGAACACTTGTGTACAGAACTTCTAAATATTATAAGAAGGAGCAGGCCGATGTCTCTGACGGCGGTAATCCTTCGCATGGCGGTGAGCAATCAAGCCCACGCCACCGGATTCAGTTTATAGCCCGTGGTCGGACACCAACCAATATAGGCTCACGCCATGTTGTTACAATCCCCACCCATAATTTGTAGATAGTAATGACGATAAAGTAGGTCCTTAATCCGGCGATCAAAGATTTTAGGCAGTAGGGTGACTGTCAGAAAAGTAGAATAGCGCGAATTCCCGCGATAGTAAGGCCATTTCTAGCGGACGAAAAGCCAAAAACTTTGTTAATACCTGGTTAAACCCGTTTGCTAAAACATGCTTAAAACTATTGAGCAAATGTTATTCATTATTATATTCATGGCTACCGTCAGTTTTGTCAGTTTGATGTCTCAAACAAGCAGCACAACACACACCTTTCAGTGGATTCAGTTCCTTCCACGTTCTCATTTGTATTTTTAAATTGCAATTTGTCTGTGTATACCGTATTGGTGGATAAATGTATAACATGTACCTAGAAGATTTAAGTCTTGTTAAAAAATCAGGTGCTATTTATCGTTTTTGAATGAATTGTCATCCTATGGTGACTTCACTGGCTGCAGATCTCTGCCAAATTGACCAACCTAATTTGGTTAAAAGTGGAGGTGATATACCATATCGTTTTGGACGAAAAATCTTCCATCAATCTATTTTTAGCGGATGAAAAGTGACCTGAACTGAGACCGTGCTATAATTGACGGGTTACTTTATTGACCTATTGTATTTAGTTTACTTTAGTTTTCATGTATTTATTTGACTTAATAGCGAATCCAATGATGAAGAGACGACATGGTGACAGATGTCAGCCGAATTGTGTATTTAAAAGGAGAGACTGAGGCTTTGTAAAACCAGAGAGCCATATATCATAATAACTTTGGGCGCAAGTTTCATACACAAATGTGTATATTCAGAAGCTTTGACATACAACAGAACTCACTGAAAATCGTTCCGAA